GAAAAGACCATCGCTAAAAGGCCCTCAGCTGACTTTCGAGGGAGCAATCTCAATGAAGGGACTAGAAAGAGACCAAGATGAAAAACATTGTGGAAAAGCCAAATGGGGGTAAAGAGAGGGGCACATTTGGAGTTTAATGGGGGCTTATATTACCAGAGTGATGAGTGTGCTAAGAAGGCATTGAAACACCCAGAACTTCTCCCAGGGAAAATTGAATTCAGCCCTTCCAGAACTGCTCTTGCCAGTGGACCCTACTCATTTTTCCAGAAAAATCTTTGTGCATCGACTGCAAAGCAATATTGTATGTACTGGAGATCAAGAAAATAGGTCTTGCCCTCACGTAGCATCTATGTTTCTTCTGTTTCCTACCAACCTCAACTCCTGTTCTTCAGGTGTGTTCAGATTTTCCCTTAGCAAGCAGGCCCTCAAGTGGACCTGTTCTTTAACAGGGCTCTCTTCCTTACCATGCACGAGCTGTCTCAGATCTACTGTTTTCTACTTAGGAGTGGAAGAGTTAAACAATCGTGTACTCTTATTAAAGTTAGACAAAATTGGCACATACTGAAAGGGAGCAGTGTTCTAACAAGACAGGAGAAGGATTGGTAAATAGCTGAGGTGATGGATATGTTAGCTAGCTTGATTTAATAATTCAGTATTTTGTACATATTGTATCACTGTGTACCCCATACATATTTACAGTTATACTTTTTTAGTAATCAATAAAAATTTTTAAAAAGTCAATAGAGCCAATTTCAAATGTTTCAGGTTAGCTTTATTGTAAGTTGTATTTTATTATCAATACAGACTTTTTTAAAAAAAGACTTATTTATTCATTTGAAAGGCAGAGTTTCAGAGAGGCAGAGACAGAGAGAGAGAGAGAGGTCTTCCATCCGCTGGTTCACTCCCCAGATGGCTGCAATGGCTGGAGCTGTGCTGATCCACAGCCAGGAGCCAGGAGCTTCTGGGTCTCCCATGCAGGTGCAGGGGCCCAAAGACTTGGGCCATCTTCTACTGCTTAAACAGACCACAGCAGAGAGCTGGAATGGAAGAGGAGCAGCTGAGTCTTGAACTGGCGCCCATATGGGATGCCAGCACTGCAGGCTGTGGCTTTACCTACTACATCACAGTGCGGGCCCCCATATAGACTCTGTTCCTCATATGAACTGGACGTTCCATTTACCAGTGGATGTTGCTTCCGTTAGCTGGGGTCAGTCCTTGGCAGTCACATGTTTTAAAAGCTTTCTAGTTGCACCCAGAATTGAGATCCACTGACGTGGAGATTTGTTGTTTTGTAGCGGTGATTTTACTGAAGAGGCCTGGCTCAGAGGTGGAAGCAGAAAGGCTAATGTCCTCTGAATTTCAGAGTGCTTTCAGTTCTCCACACTTCCACAGGTGTTCTGTCCAGCTCTTGCTTACTAAAACATTAAGACAAATTTTCAAATCCATTAGAAGAGTTTTAAAATCCAATGCAAATATAAATTTGCAAGTGGGAAATGGTTGTGCCTGCAGTTGTCTGCTCCCAAATTATAATGTATTTTTAATTTTTTTTTTTTTTTTTTTTTGGACAGGCAGAGTGGATAGTCTTCCTTTTGCCATTGGTTCACCCTCCAATGGCCGCCGCGGCTGGCGCGTTGCGGCCGGCGCACCGCGCTGATCCAAAGCCAGGAGCCAGGTGCTTCTCCTGGTCTCCCATGCGGGTGCAGGGCCCAAGGACTTGGGCCATCCTCCACTGCACTCCCGGGCCATAGCAGAGAGTTGGCCTGGAAGAGGCGCAACCAGGACAGAATCCGGCGCCCTGACCAGGACTAGAACCCGGTGTGCCGGCGCCACAAGGCGGAGGATTAGCCTATTGAGCCACGGCGCGTGCTGTATTTTTAACTTTTGATGACTCATCTTTTTTGTGTAATACTTGTTATGACTTGTATTAATCAGGATAATTTGGATTTAGTCACTTCTACAATGTATTGTTTAGTGTAAAGAAAGGAAAATTTGATGCTGCTGATTTTGTCTAGTACTCTATTTTGGAGAAGGACGGACAATCTTTGCTGGATCCTGCATGGATCTGACTGTACTCTGCATGTTTGGTAGAAATAATGCCCTTCATCATGCTCTCTACACTTACAAAGAAAAGACAAGACATACAGAAAAAATAGGTAGAACAAGAAGGCGGAAGTTGTACCAAGCCCTATTTGGAACCTTAGAATATTGAAGTTATTCACTGGTGTGCTACTAAGTGAGAACAATCTCAAAATCCTGAAGGGGGCATGTAGCTAATTTAGCTACTTGAAACTCACCAAGGAAAAGAAGATTGAGGCTAAAATACAAGGAAAACAAGCTTAACTTCTGTGTAATTATACCACCTTTAAAAAACATGAGCAATAAACCGCCATTACTTTATCACTCTTGGTCTTAATAAAGAAGAAATAATGTGGCCTTGGGAGAAAGAACAAGATAATAGAATGTGAAAGGAAACAGGAATTGCAGAAGAGTAATAGGCATATAGTAACCCCCAATAAATATTGGTTGAAGGAATGAATAGATGACACAAGAAGAAACACACTGGAAAACAGTTGGAGCTGAGGCAGAAATTCACATCCGAGAATCTCTGTTGCTGCATTGAATCAAATATTAAATTGTCAGTGTGCTTATTTTAGCCCTGCCGTTTTTCCACCAGTGATGGAGTGCCTGTTAAAGCAGCACTGGAGATAGGAAGGAGAAGGAACCCGGATTACTGAATACCGAGAGGAGCTACTTAGGGAGGAAAGTCTCTTCAAACTCCTGATTTTAGAGGTTCACAGGCCTCCAGATCAAGCAGCTGCATTACTCTGGTGTCTGATGAGGGTGGTAGATGATTAAATGTAGGAGGCAGGAAGATCACATAGTTGGCCAGCAACAAAGAGAAACAGGGAGCACACCGGTCCTCCGTGTCCATGTGGCCTTGTTTATGCAACCATGGTCAGTCAGCCCTAGGGCACCACCCCAGCATTCAATCTGGTCACTTCCTAAAGGCCCCACCTTCAGATACCAGAACGGGATCAAGCCTCTATCCTTCATTATCAATTCATTACCCATTAACATAAGACTTCGAGGGCCAAGGCCCTGACACATGACCCTTTGGGGAACACCTACACTACTCTCCGAATCAGAGCAGAGCCTGTCATACAGAGAGACAGGCATGCTAACTCCTGCTTGCTTTATTCCTCGTGTTCCAGTGGAGCTCAGGCATTCTTACAAAGTGTGACCCAAATTTCCAAAGGAAGCTTGACTTTCAAAACTCATCTAAAGTTGTTTTTGGACCACTAAGATACTCTGGTTGTGCCAGAAAATTAACCTATTTCAGCTAATTTAGGAAACCTCCCTGTTGTCTCTACTTGGCTTGCTTCTGTTCCTTTACTTCCATCCCATTCAATCCTATTAGTGAAATGGATTGAAAGTTACCTAGTCCCTTTAATTAACTGTTGCTTTGAAATTTTATTATAGATTCTTTTTATACACTCAATGATGAGTCACTAACATTTTAAAGTGATTCCGCTACTTAATTTTTAAACACTTTTATTGACTTTCAATTTACAAAGATTCACCTACTTAAACTATATAGCTCAGCTGGCACCGCAGCTCAATAGGCTAATCCTCCACCTAGTGGCGCCAGCACACCGGGTTCTAGTCCCGGTCGGGGCGCCGGATTCTGTCCTGGTTGCCCCTCTTCCAGGCCAGCTCTCTGCTGTGACCCGGGAGTGCAGTGGAGGATGGCCCAAGTGCTTGGGCCCTGCACCCCATGGGAGACCAGGAGAGGCACCTGGCTCCTGGCTTCGGATCAGCGCGATGCGTCGGCCGCAGCACACCAGCCGCGGCGGCCATTGGAGGGTGAACCAATGGCAAAGGAAGACCTTTCTCTCTGTCTCTCTCTCTCTCTCACTGTCCACTCTGCCTGTAAAAAAAAAAAAATAATAATAAAAATAAACTATATAGCTCGGTTAATTTTAGCAAATTTAAATGATTGTGTACCCATTGTCATCATCCATCAGCCCTGGACAACCACTGTGTCTGCTTTCTGTAAATGTTTTCTGTAGTCTTTGTAGAAACTTCATCTAAATGGAATCACAATATCTGATGTTTATTTTTAATATAGAAACAAATTTCATCTTGATAAAATAATTGAAGACCAACTAAATTAGGTGAATGTTGTGTTTCTGTACAAACAGCATTAGAGTAAGTTAAAATTTTCTTAACCAGGTGCTAAGATTTTAGTATATACCTCATTTGCTTCACTGAATTGTAGTTTATCATTTTGGTTTTGCAAGATATCTTGTTCAGGCCTGCACTGTGGCATAGCAGGTAAAGCCACTGCCTGCAGTGCAGGCATCCCATATGGACGACAGTTTGAGTCCCAGCTGCTCCACTTCCAATCCAGCTTCCTGTTATGGCCTGGGAAAGCCATAGAAAATGGCACAAATGCTTGGGCCCCTGCACCCACATGGAAATCCTGGAAGAAGCTCCAGGTTCCTGGCTTTAGATTGGCACGGCGCCAAGTGTTGCAGCCATTTGGGGAGTGACCCAGCGTACGGAAGACCTCTCTCTCTCTGACTGCCTCTCCCTCTGCCTCTCTGTAACTCTTTCAAATAAGTAAATAAATCTTTTAAAAAAAGATACCTTGTTCAGTTTTGAGCTATACATTAAGTATAATTTCTCTGAGATGCATAGATTAATATTCTTTCTATCTTCAGGCTTTATTCTAAAGTTTATATTATTATGACATCACCTGCTGCACCCCTGTGCCAAAGTGCAAGCATTTATTGAGTTCAAAGAGAAAGAAAACAGAGATACTTAATGAGCCTCCAAACATTTGTGAATAGGTAAATGGATGAAAGATAGATTGATCATTTCTGTATATTTAGGTCTTAGAAAAGTAGCCTCTATCAGAAGTCCTCATGGGGTAGAAAATTAATAAACTGTGTATTATTTAAGTAGAATTTCACTCTTTGTCCTTTTTCATTTAACAGAAGAAATGTGAAACATGTTCTAGCCAGGAATAAACCATTGCAGTGGACAAACTCCTATGTCTTACCTGAGTTTCCCTATGATGTCAAATGTATGTTGGCAGAGCAGAAGTGTCCCGACCACAGCATGAGAATAAGGATGATCGAGTTCCTCCAGGCTGACATGACAAAGTATCTGGAAGGCTCCCTGTGAGTAATCCCAGGGCCCCTGGCTGCTTCCAGAGAGGGGCTTTTCAAAGCAGAGTAGAATTTATTTGTAACCAACTATGTTCCGATTTCGGATGACCTATTGGATGCAAGCCCAACATTGCTTAGTATTTGATTGTCTGTTGTATGGAGAGATCTGAAGAAAGTGAGTGTGACTTAGAGCCACCCTGCAATGAAATATGCCCTCTTTGTTTCGGTGACAGGTACCCTACCACCCAGCAGTACAATGATGTGGTCAGTGCCCTGCTGCAAGCCCACCCTTTCCTGGATGACAGTGGCTGTGGCTTTGTAAGTGACCATGTGATGTGAGCCTGTCAATCTCAGCCTGTCTTAAAATGATAGTATTGTTTTGCCCAGCAATTTTGGGCTTCAACCTTCTTGCCTTAGTCTGTCTCTTTTCTGTTTCTCTCTCTTGGTCTGTCAGTATATCTGGGTCTATGTGTTTCTCTCTATTTCTCTCATTCTTTATCTCTGTGGTTCTCTGATTTCTTTAGTTTCTCTGGCGATATCTGTCTCTTTGTCAGCTTTTTGCCTTTGCTTTGATAGCCTCCTTTCCCCTTTTAAATGCCTTCTCTTCTCTCTGGATGGAGTCCTTGGTCTCTGTCACCATCTTGGTGTCCCTCTCTCAAAGCTGTTGGGAAGCCCCTGTGCGTGTTTAGGAAGGCTCTAAGATGTGATATATAGAAAGGCAAGCCATGACTCACTTGCACTGCTGTCATTGTCCCAGTGTCTCTTGCCTTCTGATTGGAGCCACTGGGGACGTCGTCTGGGTATGAAGCTTTGGCCTTCTGCCTCACCTGGTCCTCTCACATCACTGCTGTCCTGATAAAAATGGACCCAAAGGATGTTCTGGGCAGCAACTCTGACCTCTGGATGCACATTAGGAGCCTCAGGATTCCACTTTAATGATCTGAGGATGAGGCCTAACAGTAATATTTTGAAAAAAATCTACAAATAATTCTAATGAACAGTCGAAAAAATTGAGTACCACTGTTCCAGAAGTTTTAGCGAAAACTTTACTCTTTGGGCCTGCTTATCTTTTGAGTTTAAACAACTAGAATCTTCATTGCACAGTAATATGAATATACTTAATAGTACTGAACTGTACACTTAAAATTCTTAAGATGGTAATGAAAATTTGAGTGTTTATGCCACTACAGCTATATGATCTAAGGGAAAATTATGGAGAATTATAGAAATGTGTACATAAAGATATTATGTCTATTATTCCCTGAATCTCTCTCTACAAGGGTGCTTCAAAAAGTTCTTGGGAAATAGAATTAAAATAAAGATTTAGTTTGGTACAAAACAGTTGTAATCCATGAACTTGATGAAGAACCCTCATATATTTTAATAGAGATTCCTTACATATATAAGCAAATACATATCTCCCCAACTGCATTTGACCTTTAATATCATATACACAATTTCAATGTTTTTTCACCAAAATTTTAACTCCATATTCCACAAATCTTTTGAAGTATCATTGCATATACGTTATGCATACACATTGGTAGTCATAGCTAAATCAGATTTACCTGACCAACCTCAGATAGCAATCAAAAAATATTTTTTACCATGCTTTCTTGAAGATGTAGATCTTCAGCAGTCTGGTCCAATTTAAACAACGAAGACTAACTACCAATATCTGTGAATGTGAAAACATTTAAGGCTTCTGTTTTTCCCTCTCTTACTCCCTCTCCTCCTCCCTTCCTTTTTCTATTTTGAAGAAAAGACTCATTATATATGAGCAGCATCACAGAAGTTCTTGAATAGGGCAGACCTTCAGGATTAATTGTTTTATCACTGACACTCAGAAAACATGTTGTATCCTGTGTTTGGACCACGGAACCAAGAATGGAACTGAAGGATCCTTGTTTCGAGGGTTATAGCCTTTCTAAAATATGCTGCTGCAAACAAATAAGCCTACAAAATAAACCATGTTTGCTCTGTAACAAAACAAAAAAGAAAAATAAAAAACCAAAGCTCGGAGTCCCGACACTGACATTCACGAGTCTCCATCAGCAGTTCTGTGTCAGGGCTTTGGGTTTTTGGGTGTTTAATTTCAGAGTAATTAGAAGGGAACCATGTCCATGTAGAATTTTCCATACCCTACACACTGGAAAAGCATGCAGAAAGGGGATAGTTATTCTGTAACACAAGTCTTTTCTACTGAATCCCTCCATCCCCCTTGGGCATCTGTATAAGTAACTCCCAGGGCCCTGCATATAGCAGGTGCTCAGTTAATATTCACTGACGGAATACTCCTGCGGAAGGCTGTATCTGCTTTGTCCTTTTTCTGATCCTATCACACTGTTTAATAAAGAGAGACTGGAGATGCTAGGAAGAGGAAATTGGTAATTTAAAAATGGCCTAGCGCTTGATTGCTGTAATACCTCCCACCAGGCTCAGCAGGTTGAGCGGTGCTTCAGAGCTGCAGGGAATGCGACAAAAATTTATACTTCCCCTAGTTCATATGGGGGTAAAGAAAAAATATAAACCCTCTGCTCTTTTAGTGTTGTTGTAAAACAGTGACGGCAGAGACTGGGCCCACAGCCTGTGGGAGGCCATGAGCAATGTGTGACTCACGCATACGCAGGAGCTGAAGCCGGCGTAGTCAGACCCGCTGCTCGCCGGGCTGTTTGAACAGCATTATGAACAATACTTTTGTTGATAAATATTTTTCTGGAGTAGCTACTCATTTAAGTCATCCAAAAACCCAGTGCAATTGACGAGGCAGATTCTGTTGTTCCATTTTCAGGCTGAAGGTGCTAAGGCTGAGGCGCATGGGGGAGTTAACCTGTTGAAGCTTGCACTAATACAGGCTCAGGCTAGCGCTAGAACTGGCTCTTCCCATCCTAGGCCAGGCTGCTTTCTGAATGGCAAGGGATACCCATTTTTTTTTTTTTACGATTTATTTTACTTATTTGAAAGGTGGAAGGAGGGAGAGAGAGAGCGAACGAGCAAGAGCAAGAGAGAGATCTTCCATCTGCTGGTTCACTTCTCAAAAGGCTGCAATGGCCAGGGCTGGATCAGGCTGAAACCAGAAGCCAGAAACTTCATTCCAGTCTCCCATGTGGATGCAAGGACACAAGTCCTTGGGCCATCTTCTGCTGCTTTCCCAGGCATATTAGCAGGGAACTGCACTAAAAGTGCAGCAACAAAGAATTGAACTAGAACATATATGACATGCCAGCACTGCAGGTGGTGGCTTAACCCACTAGGCCACAATGCTGGCCCTGGAAGGAATACTTTCGTTTGCACTGAAGCCATGTAACCAGGAGTAACAAACCTTAAGTGCCAGACACTTGACCAACATTGTCTCAATGGCACTGCAGTTGCCCCAAGGCAGTAAGAATGCAGGGAACACACCCAAAGCCACTCAGTGACTTACCACCCTCTCTAGTGACCAGGGCTGGGACGGAGATGCAGGCCTGCCTGACTGCAAAGGGTCTTTTCCTTCCCCAGACCCCAAATAGGAGTCTATTCAAGTGCAGGGCATTGCAGGGGAGATGAGCAGCTATGAGCAGCTACAAGGCTCAGGCTCTAAGAAGTGTTGGGCTACCACTCACATGGAGAGTTATTTACCAAGCAAGGCCAAGACTCAAGGATCTGCTTTGAGTCTGTTGCATCAAAACCTGGAGCTTTTGCCTTATAGATATGAGGTATCACCTGTTTATAGTTTTCAATAAGCATCAGGTGGAGCTGGGCTTGGTGACCCAAGCAGACATGAACCTGTCCATACATGCATGCAACCAGGAGAAAGGAAAGAAAAGGAAAAGAGAAAGGAAAAAAAAAAGGAAGGAGGGAAGTAAGGTAGGGAGGAAAGGATGGAGTGAAAAAAGAAAAGGGAAAAGAGGGAAAAAAGAAGAGGCATTTGGCCTAGTGATTAAGAGGTGCTCATCCCACATCGGAGTACCTGGATTTAATTCCTGGCTCTGGCTCCTGCCTCCAGCTTCCTGCTAATTCTGACCCTGAGAATCAATGGTGTTGGCTCAAGTAATTGGGTTCTTGTTACCTATGTGGGAGACCCAGACTACACTCCTGGTTCCTAGCTTCTACCTTGGCCCAGTCCCAATTTTGTTGTGGGTATTTGGGGAGTGAATCAGTGGATAGGTGCTCTCTTTCTGTGTATCTGCTGCTCAAATAAATATTTTTTTAAAAAAGAATAATTAAAGAAAAGCAACGGAAAAAGAAAGACAAGCTTCATGACACTGTGTGTTATACTGTTGTCGGGGGTGCACACATCCCATGTCAGATTGCCTGGTTTGAATCTGGGCTACACTGCTTCTGTTCCAGCTTCCTGCTAATGAGCCTCTAGGAGGCAGCAGGGTAGGAATTGGTCTTTGTGTCTGAAATAGTACACGCACCACAAATATTTGGAAAGTGAATGTCATAGTATTCATCAAAATGAATTTCAAGAGGTGGCAGGAGAAAATTTTTTAGGAAAATGCATCAATACATAAGCCAGCATTAGTTCTTCTCTGGAACCCACCGGAAAAGTGCAATGTGTCAGAAAGACAGCAGGGTATGGTAGAGAATATCCACTTTGGGGAATTAGAAAGCTCAAGAACCAGTTCACTTACACAATAACCGTATTCCATTGGGAAATATGTTCATGTAGCTCTTTCCTGAATCATAGTTTAGGAATTATAATTTTTATAGCAGCATCATAAGATTGTTATCATGATAAATGGAAAAAGAGATAATGTTATTTCCATTACTGTCATGTGAAAATAATTGCAAACCCAGGGTTGATAGATAAATAAAGATTTTATTGGTTATATAGGATTATTCCAATCTACTTGAAGGTTAACTAGCCTGTTTTGTTTTCTTGTGCAGTTTTCATGGAAACGAGCTCTCAAAGATCGCTTTAAGTATGTTCGAAGGCCTATAGAAGATGATGAACAAGTGCTGAGAAATAAGTGTAAATTTGGACACCGACGAGGCCAGACAAGGAAATCTCTTGATGATATACGATTTGATGAAATTAAAATCGTGCAGATAAAAGTAAGATTGATTCTTTAAATGTCCTCACAACTTGATTAAGATTGACTAAGGAATAACAGCATTTAATATCATTAAAACAAAATAAGATGCCTTTTAAAATTTTGAGATGTGGCCAGGAACCAAGCAAATCTATTTTGTATTGCTAATATTGTGAATGATAGTTCCAACAAGGGCTTCCAAAAACAGATATGGTTAAACATCTCATGTTCATTTGTTTTTCACATCCTTAAAAAAACCTGGAAGTTCCTGATGCCCTTAGTGCTATGAGAAATTTGATTTTGTTGTTGTTGTTTTTAAAGAATATGCATGGTGCCGTCCCTATTGCATAAAGAGTTAAGCCTCTGCCTCCAGTGCCAGCATCTCATTTGGGCACTGGTTCAAGTCCCAGCTGTTCCACTTCTGATCCAGCTTCCTACTAATGCACCTGGGATGGCAGAGGAAGATGGCCCAGGTGCCTGGGCTCCTGCACCATGTGGGAGACCCAGGGGAGACTCCTGGCTCCTGGCTTCAGCCGGGCCCAGCTGCGGTCATTGCAGCCATTTGGAAGATTCCTTTTCTCTCTCTCTCTCTCTCTCTCTCTCTCTGTCTCTCTGGCTTTCAAATAAACAAATTTAAATATATATATATGTGGGAATGAAGGCTTTAAAAGTGCTTAATAATTTATTTATTTACTTATTTGACAGGTAGAGTTACAAACAGTGAGAGAGAGAGACAGAGAGAAAGGTCTTCCTTCCGTTGGTTCACCCCCAAAATGGCCGCAATGGCTGGAGCTACTCTGATCCGAAGTCAGGAGCCAGGTGCCTCTTCCTGGTCTCCCATGCGGGTCCAGGAGCCCAAGGACTTGGGCCATCCACCACTGCTTTCCCAGGGCCACAGCTGAGAGCTGGACTGGAAGAGGAACAACCGGGACTAGGATCCGGTGCCCATATGGGATGCCAGTGCCACAGGTGGAGGATTAACGTAGTGTGCCACGGTGCCGGCCCAAGAATTCTTATATTTTTGAGAAGCAGGGAAATAGAGCTAGAACTCTCGTTTACTGGTTCACTCTCCAAATGTGTACAATTGTTGTGACAAGGCCAAGTGGAAACCAAGAGCCAGGACTCACAGATCTCCTTATGTGTGTGGCAGGGACTCAACTACTTGAGCTATCACCTGCTCTCTCCCAGGGTGAGCACTGGCAGGATGCTTGAACTGGGAGTAGAGTCCAGATTTGAACCCAGGCACTCCAATATAAGACACAGGCTACTGAATCTTCATCTGAATTACTAGACACAATGCCTGCCCCTACAAGTTTTTAAAGCTCACTTTGTAGAGGTTATAAAGAAAGAAATAATCTTTATGCATGAATGTAAAACTCCATACTGGCCTTTTCCTACCTGCTGATATAGAAGTCTTCCCATTGCAACCCATACTGGGCTGTGGGGAGCTTCACAATGAGGGTCTCAGGCAAAGCTTGGAGATTGTTCCCTCAACAGTGGAGAAATAGTCCTGGTTATCTGAGACCCTGTAAGTATTCTTGAACTACTTCAGATGTAAAATTCCCTTGTTAACAAAGTAGATTAAACTCCTTAGGAAGGATGTCCCAACTACCAAGTGCCCTCTCAATCCTATCTCCACTTTAATGCAACACAAGATGTAAACCCTAACTCTTTACTACCAACACAATTATATTAGTGGATGTGGTTGGTGTAAAAAAATATTTTTTACCTGGTATATTTACTTGATATTACTAGAGTAAACTATTTGGTCACCTCAATTTTATTAGTATTAATTAAAAACTCCAGGAGACAGGAATATTTACAACATACATTGTATAACACTCATCCCAGTACCATGTATAATGCAAAATTTTATAGGAAGGTGTATACTTACAATATTTATAAGATTCAGTGAATTTTTCAAATGATAGCTCAGTTACTATAATAGAATTCTGTATCTGTTCTTTGATAAATTGATAAAACAGCTGAAAGGTGCTCTAAATTTAGCGGTGTAACTCTTCAGAAAATTTAATGCAACAGTTAGGACTGCTAAATTCCAATTATAAGCCAAAATCACCATAAGATAAAATGATATTTATTTTAAAATACCTTTCATATTCTTAGAAAGTCACATTGTAAAAGAGCATAAGTATATTATGCATTTTCAGTTCACTAAAAAGAGTTAAATTTAAAAATCCAGTTTTCCCTTTTTTTCTATGATTCATGCCACACCCAAACTCATTGGATTAATGAATGATAACTTGGGATGCTGAGAGCCGCTGTCCCCATCACTAGAAATCAAAAGCATGGCTGTGGGATCAGATGGAAGTCCAGGAGACACCAGGCCAAACTGAAGTTCCTCTTTTGCTGAGGCCTTATCTCAGAACCCGTTTCTATACTCACGTGTTGTGCTGCTTCTCCAGCTGCCTTAGTTCTTCAGGGAACTACACTTTCCATGCCTCTTCTCTCCTGGTGCTGCAGACATGCCTGACCACCAGGGCAAATTCTGCTAAGGCCCACGTAGGAGACTTGGCAACAAAAAGAGCAGAGAATTGAAAGGACCAGGAGATTAGTTAGGAGATTAAGTTGCAATGGAATTGAATTTTGGCCTTCCTGTCAGCTTTGGCTAAAGAAGAGATTATAAAGTGGTCATTATTCAATCTGAAGAGGCAGCATTTTTCCTGGCAAACACATCTTATTGGTAAGTTTTTACTTTTCTCTCTGTGAGCTGCAAATTGCTGATTCTTTAAAGACTATAGCCTCTCCCTGTTTATAATTTTATTTTCTGTAAAGGCTAAAAGCTATAAAGGATGAGAAATTTTCACACTACAATATTACAGAAACCAGGTGTTTCTGTGTTTTATATCCTTAGAAATTAAGCAAATGCAAAATCACTAGGAATAGGGAATGGGAACTCCTATATATTGAATTTATGACGCTGGTTGCCTAAATCATTTCCAGTCTTTATCTTGAACAGCTGATAGCTCCTTTGAAATGCATGTAAGATTTTTGAAAATTAAAGATAATTTGGATTAAGACACATTTGGGTAACTCTCATATCCATTAAAATTTCTTGACTGGGCACAATATTTCCACTACGTAGAAAAAGATGGTTCTCTGTGCTGCATGCATGGAAGATGTTGATGCCAGCAAGAAGCAGGGGTCAGGCCATACACTTGGAGACAGGGAATTGAGTTAAGCTAACCGGAGGAAGGTCTTGGGAAGGAAGAAGGGAGGGAAAGAGATCCTCATTTGTTCTGCTTTGTTTTGTCTCTGGTGTTGCTTTCCTTTCCCAAAGAACTGGATGTGGAGGTCTGGTGAAGGAAGGTGGGCTTCTTGGTCCTGCACGTGGGCTTCCTCAATAACCCACACAGCTGCAGAATCTGTGAGAGTCTGACCAGAAGCCTCAGAACCTTCGCCCCTCACCCTCTGCCTCCCACAGCCTCCTATGCCTGTGTAACTGTTTCCACTCTTGTTTTGTTGGCTACTGCAATGACCAAGCATCATTTGCAAGTCAATATACATGAATTCCTCATGTTCCATTGACACAGAAATGTATCACCATGTTGTACAGGTCACTATATGGGTCAGAATGCCAAACCATGTTCCCAGGACAATCTGGCAGAATGCTGGCTGTATTGCAATGCTTAAAAATGTATTTCCTGAGCAGGCAGTGTGGTACAGTGGGTTAAGCCATTGCTAGGGATGCCATATCAGAGTCCTGGGATCGAGTCCTGTCCCTGCTTCTGACCCAGCTTCCTACTAATGCACCTGGAGGCATCAGATGATGACTCAAATTTTTGAGCCCTTACCACACACATGGGAGACTTGGATGGAGCTCCTGGCTCCCGGCTTCAGCATGGTCCAGCCCTGGCTGCTGCAGGCATTTGGGGAGTGAACCAGCAGATGGAAGATCTTTCTGTGTCTCTCCCTCTCTCTGTCACTCTGCCTTCTTAATAAATAAACAAATAAAACAGAAAAGCAAGTGCCTTCCATCCTTGAGAACTCATGTTGCTGCTTGAGTTGTTGTGCAGTCAGCGCAGCAGTGGTGCTGCAATGTCTCATGCATCTGACTTTGACTTAAGTCCAATCATCTGTGGCCCCATAAATTGCTAAGTGTATGTCCTTTTCTTAATTGTCATTTATTATACTTCATGTTGTATTTAAAAACACATGCAATTAGATTCTCAGAACAATAGAGTAATTTTGTAAGTTGCTGAAGTTTCTTTGTAGTACTTTTTTAAGTTACTGTAATTTTTATAAATGATTAAAACACTGATTTTTTTTAACTTTTATTTAATGAATATACGTTTCCAAAGTACGAATAATGGATTACTATGGCTTCCCCCCCATACCGTCCCTCCCACCCACAACCCTCCCCTTTCCCACTCCCTCTCCCCTTCCATTCACATCAAGATTCATTTTCGATTATCTTAATATACAGAAGATCAGCTTAGTATACATTAAGTAAGGATTTCAACAGTTTGCTCCCACACAGAAACATAAAGTGAAAAATAATAGATGATTTTTTTTAATGATGATGAAATCAGATCAGACCTATTGTCATGTTTAATCCCAGTGAGAGTCAAGTTGGGAGTTGATAGTTTCTTTTCTTTTCTTTTCTTCTTTTTTTTTTTTTTTTAACAGAGGATCAGTTTAGTATGCATTAAGTAAAGATTTCAACAGTTTGCACCCCCTTAGAAACACAAAGTGAAATATATTATTTGAGTACTCGTTATAGCATTAAATCTCAATGCACAGCACATTAAGGACAGAGATCCTACATGAGGAGTAAGTGCACAGTGACTCCTGTTGTTGACTTTACCAATTGACACTCCTGTCTATGGCATCAGTAATCTCCCTATGCTCCAGTCATGAGTTTCCAAGGCTATGGAAGCCCTCTGAGTTCTCCGACTCTTATCTTGTTTAGACAAGGTCATAGTCAACGTGGAGGTTCTCTCCTCCCTTCAGAGAAAGGTACCTCCTTCTTTGAAGACCTGTTCTTTCCACTGAGATCTCACT